CCCCAAAACCCCAAAACCCCAAAACCCCTCAAGGTATAATGAATTTATAAAATGAGATTGTGAGATTTGCATTTATTTATATTCACATTCAAGATTCTGAAATATAATCTTAAAGATTTAATGTAAGAAAAAGCATTGTAAAAGCTAGATAAAGTATCTGAGTATAATTAATCTTCACCTAAACTAGGAAACTAGTATTTTGAGGACTAAGCTCTACAAAGCTACTTGCCATTATTTTATGAGCAGAGTACTGTAGAACAAAGGATCAAAATGGAAAATGACCTTTTGCAGTTTGGAGCAAAAGTTGCATCATCAAAATACCTCAAGTTGTGTGCTGAGGCTGAAAATAACAAACCCTGGCTTGAGTAGTATGACGCTTATGGAAAAAGAATAGATATTATCCATACTTCAGAAGGTTGGAAGTACTTTAAAGCTTAAGCAGCTTTGGAAAAATTAGTGTCTATTGCCTACAAGAATTCAGATAAATCGTCTCCAGACTACAATCCAAACTCAAGGCTGCATTAAATTGTTAAGTTGATGCTATTTAGTGCTTCAAGTGCTCTTGTTTCCTGTCCATTATCTATGACTGATGGCGCAGCATTTACAATTAGACAACTAAAAAGATCTTAATCAAAGTACTATTCAGAAGAACTTGCGTAGGCATATGAAAGTCTGACGTCGACAGATCCCAGAAAAATGTGGACTTCAGGTTAGTGGATGACAGAAAAACGAGGAGGATCAGATGTATCAGCTGGCACTGATACAGTTGCTATAGAAAATAAGGAAACTAATTAATGCCAACTCTATGGTTATAAATGGTTTACATCAGCTGTTGATTCTGAAATGACTTTGGCATTGGCGAGATTCCCAGACTCAGAACAAGAAATCGAAACTAATTAAGGAAAACTCGGATTAGTGTTTTTGAAAATAAGAGATAAAAAAGGAGATCTCAATAAAATTTAAGTAGTCAGACTGAAAGACAAGCTCGGAACAAGGCAATTACCTACAGCAGAATTGATACTTAAAGGTACTATAGGAACAAGGATTTCAGATATCGGAAAAGGTGTGAATATGATTTCAAACATGCTAAATATTACTAGGATTCACAATGCCCTATGCAGTCTTGGCTATATGAGAAGAATGTCAGCTCTTGCTAATGATTATAAAGACAGAAGAGTCGCCTTTGGTTAGAAGTTAGTTGAACATCAACTTCACTTGAATGTGATTGCGAAATTTGAGAAAACTTATAGAGGGAATCTGTTGATTTTGCTTGAAACAGTTTTGTTACTACAACAATAGGACCATGAAAACTATGCTAACAAGGATAAATTGAGATTACTGACTTCAATTTTGAAATTATTTACTGCAAAGGATTCAATTGCTGTTGCAAGTGAGGGTATTGAAAGCTTCGGAGGTTTAGGATATATGGAAAATACTAGAATACCTTAGATTTTAAGGGATGCACAAGTATTATCTATTTGGGAGGGTACCACAAATATCTTATCTTTGGATTTTTTAAAAGATCTTATGAAATAGTATTCAACTAAAAGGCAAATACTTCTTGATTTGTTACATTACGATACTAATACTAAACTTGATAGCATTAAAACCAAGGAGTAAGTTAACTCACTCCTTTAATACAGAGAGAGATTCATCCAAAGCCTTGATAAATTGTTTACTTCCAAAGATGTAGCATATATTAAGAGCTAAGCGAGAACAATTGCTTTCAAGTAAACTTTATAATTTCTTATTTATTATAGTTTTGCCTTCTTATTCGTTCCATTTGTGTTTCTTAAGAGAGTTATGCCAGTTCATTCAAAGGATGCAGCTGAGATTGAAGTATTCAACTTTTGGATTCAGAGATTATTAAAAGAGTATTAAGACCCTATTGATGAAATAAGTCAAAACCACCTTTATCAGAGAGACTTAAAACTTCTTAAAGGACCATCATACGGTAAAGATGTTAATGATATTTTCTAACCAAGGCAGAAGTTATGAAATTAAATAGAATTTTTATCAAAATAAAATAAATAATTTCATAAATATCATATTCAGAGATCCTTGTCATCATCAAGGGGAATAAGGTAATTTACCTTTCTTGTTTCTGTCTGACATCTGTTAATCTTCATTAAAGCTAAGTTTGTCTTTCTAAATATTACTATTATTTAGGAAACTCTATTGATTCAGCTCAAATTTTTCCTGCTATTATTGTTAATGAATACTCCCCCCATAATAGGAGTCGTTGTTGTCCTAATAGTTTTATTCTTTAATTTGATTATTCCTAATATCCTATTATCTTTATTATTGTGTCCAAACTGGAGTCTTAAATTAATTTTACTCTATTTACTGAAATTAAGATTCCTGCTAATCATATTCTTATTCGTCATATTCACTATTCTCATTATCTTGATCATCGTAAAACTATATCTGATTATTTGAACTTTTATTGTAACCTCTTTCATTAATGGTTTTTAATGGTTAATTCTCCTGCTAAATCAGTCCAACATTGAATGCTTTATAAGTTTCAGGTTGTTAGTAGTCAGTATCTAACCGATTATTATTCAGACTATGCTAGCTAACTTTATTATTGCTAGCTGTAATTTATTATCTTGATAAATGATTATTCATCTAGGGATTATTAAGATTTTCAAATGAAGCATTGTTTAGCTTTAAAAATGAAGAAGTACTTTATAGCTGAGAGTTATGCTTATCTCTAACTTCTTTTATTTTATGCTTCAGAACTTGAATGTCTGAAGAGTTTGATTTGAGGATTCGTTAATGATGGAGAGATGAGTCTGATGAAACATGGTTTTCTAATTAAGATTTTGAATCGGTATTGTTATTGTAAACTCCATTTTCTGATTCGTACATGGATATCTCAACAATCTGTCCATTCATCTTTTAATAGGTTGGCCTTCTTGGAGGCTGAATAGCTTGATTCATATGGCTATGTCCCCCAGTAGGATATTGATAATTTATAGCATAAGGATGCTGAGTATTTATGTAATTCGTAAGTGAACTTTAAGCAAGGACATTTATTATTGATTTCGATTTTTCTTCAATTAGTTCTTCAAGTTTTTAATTAAATCCATTTGCTAGTGACATTAAACTTTCTGGTCTTGACAATCCAACAGAAACTTTTTCAACCTTCTTTTTCTTTTTCATTTTGCCGTCAAGATCATTTAGAGTTCTTGCATAATCATCATACCGCTCTTCATCTGAGTGATCTAGCTCACTTTACTCTATACTATCTTCATTCAATCTTTTTCTTAAGTTTTTATTCAGTATTTTCATCTTTTCTAACTCTCTCTTGGTTTTCTCATAGTCAGACATCTCCCTCATAATTTCCTCCTTGACCATCTATGCATCTTCAAATAGTTCAATCACTTTTTATTACTCTTCACTAAGTTAATCTTGTAGTAATTTCACCTCTCTCATTAGAACTGAATTATCCTCAATGAGCTTTTTATGCTCAATTTACTACTTTACAAATTATTCACTTTAAGAACCTTTCAATTGACTTCTTAAGTTTTCAATCTCTGTTTCATACTTAGTCTATAATTCTTTTGTTTTTTAGGAGAGGAATGCTAAGTCCTATTCCAAATAGTTCGCTCTCATTCTAAGCTCTTAATTTTCCTCTTTCATTTTCTTTATGTCTTCTTGGTTATTCTATGCTTCTATAAGTTGAGTTGAATCGTTAAGATTTAGTTTTTGAGACATTCCCAGTCCTACTAATCCTGCTAAACCACTATATTCTGATCCTGTAGCTTATTTTTTGAATGGATTCTAAGGAGAAGCTCGAGGATTATTAGCCGATTGTTAAAGTTACAACTTAGCCTACAAATTAAGAACTTATTTATTATAATCTCCTAACTATCTTTCATATTCGTGTTCTTTTTATTTCATGAGTATTTAATGAATTTGCTTAATCGTGCGAGAGAGTAAATCCTCAGAAAGTTAAGTTTCCTTGTCTGGATTATTTTAAATGTCATACATAAGAAGATATTTCGCCTGCTCAAGGATGTTATAGTTGGGATTTGGGATCTTTACATTTTGAGGTATGTTTGAATGATTTTTTATATTTATCTTGATAACATATATGTCATCTTCATTTTACATGAATGCCTGATCTTAGCTTATTGAGTTATCAAGATCTGTCTTTCTGAGAATTGAGTTTGACTCCTAAGATTCCTCTTTGATAATATCTTTATTGTTATAATCCTTCACCGGAGGCGATAATATCCCAGCACTTTTGTTGTATTTATTTTAAATTTAACTACTAGATTATTTAGAATGAGTTGGAGGAAGTTTTTGCTTCTCAGAGAGATTAGAGGAAAGAGGTGCCCCTACAGATCCATTGTTTCCTGAAGTTACCATTGGAGGTGGACCGTGCTTGGCTGCAAGTTTTTAAAATGCCCTTGTAAGTGATTGCATTAAGGGAGGAGGTGGAGGCACTTTTTGCTAGTTATTCTTACTGCTTGATCCACTACTCTTTATATCTATATTGCTTTCTTTAATTTATAAATTGCTAGGCTGTTTTTTATCTTGACTAAATGAGTTGAGAGATTCATTTTCACTTTATGACATTTCACCTTTTTCTGATGGTTGGTATGATGCTTTTTTCTATTTTCTTTGGTTGATTTTGAGAGGATTATTTTGCTTGTTAAATGTGCCACTCATATTTGAAGTAGAACTTACTGACTCATCCTCTGTCATGTTTCTAAATGCATTTAATTGCTGGACAGACTAATAATCCATTGCTGCTTTTAAAGCCTAAATATAAATTTAATTATAAGAATTAAGCTCATAGCCTAATTAAAAAGTTGCTAATTTTTCAACATAGAATTAAATTATTGAAATAAGAATAATTAATGTCATAAGTTTAAACAGCAACTGACCATTAGAATTTTGTTTGGTCTCATGCATATCGAGAATGTGCTTTGTATAATAAATCCATCAAATCACAAATAGATCGAGAAAACAAAATATTTAATCGAGATTACTCTAAAGAAGGGTAAGTGCTTTTTAAAATAATGTATTTATCGTTTTAGCAAGGAGAACCGTAAGTTTCAAAATCTATTTGAAGGACTTGATAATTCCAAGCCATTTGATTTTGACTTTCTCAAAAAGTAGACTTTTAAGGATATTTTCTCAATAAAAAACAAAAGAGCTGAGAGTATAAAAAAGACTCTACATTATTCTAATTATTCCAAGTAGGATCACAACATTATTTCACATGAGGAGCCTTTACAATTTTACAACGAATTCCAAAATAACCTAATACAGTACGATTAAGTTAAACCACCTCCTTTTGATCTGTAATAGAGCTTAAAAGATGCAAAAAAGAGATAAAAAGCTACTCTTGATAAATAGTGCAAGAAATATATAATAAAAAATATAAGAACCTGCACTGAATTTGGTAGAACATAACGAGATAAAGTTCGCAAAAATCAGCTTAAAAAGAATAGAAATATGACAATTAGCATTGATGATCCCTATAATCTTAGCAAGGGGCAATCAATATATGATAATTACTTAAGTGGGGATAATTTAAATCAAAACTCTAATTAAAACACTCCTGGGAATCTTAGACATCGAAGACTATAATTAATTCACAGACAAAAACTCAACTAAACAACAATCAAGTCTTAATTGAACAAATTCGGGGCATCACCTATGGTAATATATCATGAGCCTATTATTGCACCCAATACTCAAGTCAACAGCCTTGAAAGACCAAAGACTGGAATTTTGCTTAACGAATAAAGATAAACTTCTCATTCTCAAAATAGAAACTTAGACGAGTCTTCTAATAATCTTATTTTCTTAAAGAGGAATATTTAGACATAAGAGTCTTAAAGAAGGCCTTTGTAAAAGGAGAATAGTAGTAGCTTTACTTAAAATGAAATATAATAATTCAGTTAGCAATAGAGATTTCGTCAAAATATGAGAAATACTTCTCCAATGAGAGTGATATAAAAAAGAGATTTTAACACTCTTCAAGGTCCTGAATATAATAAAACGCCAGTCAATGGCCCAATGATTTTAAAAAGTGAGTTAATAAGTCCATCACGTCCATCTTTAGTTGCAATCGGTGTTGATAATGACTACAACGATAAGTATTCTACTCTCTCACAAGCAGATTAAATGAGAAAAAGATCTTTATCAAGTTATTGTAAAAAGAGAGATTTAGCTCAAAATCTAAAATAATAAAAAGATATCAGGCCTAATTATACAGTAAAAGCATTAAATAATTCAAGGAAATAATCGATTGAGACTGATTCATAAGTTATTAGTGAAAAGGCTAGTCGTGCTTACCTGCCAGAGGATTAGAATGCATTGAAACGAATCAAAAATTTGGAGAAATACATGAGCAAGAAAGTAAAAAGTAAGGATGATGCGGTAGGATACGCTATGGGGTATCTCGAAAAGCTGGCAAAACTTAATAATAACCAAGAAGGAGTAGATACTAGCAGCTTAATTAAAAATGGGTAACTTTTAGGAGAGTATCAATGGAATAAAGGTGCTGAAGATGCGAAAGGGCTCAATGAGGCTTTTAAATTATATGATCTAGATGGAACGATGGCTGGTGTGAATACTCCATTGATGAATTCTATAGATTTTGCAGACCTGAGAGATGAGGAAAAACTTATCCATCAAGTACTGTTTGATCGAAAGAGATCTGATAAAGCAATCCTTATAATGGATGACTCCTAATAGCAGCAAGGAGAAAATATAGTTAATATAAGCAAGGCTAATTTCATTGAACGCTAATTAAATGAAGAAAGAACCAAAAGAAGGGAATTAGAGACGGCATTACAAAGACTCGGTGCAAAGATTAGAGATTTAACTAAGAAAAATACTGTAGACTGAAACCTACTTCATTGATACTTTTAAATTAAATTTATGATTAGCTGTTTCTTGCGATGTATTTAGAATTAGGGGTTTTGGGGTTTTGGGGTTTTGGGG